CACCTACTCCAACAGAGCCACACCTTCTAATAGTGCTACTTCCTGGGCCAAGCATATACAAATCATCATATTCACATATAAATTTGCTTGGTTCTTTTAAATATGTTTTATCTTAGTTGATACTTTCATTTTTTCATGCAATATCTTCTTGAGTTTATAAAAGCATCTTTATGACAGCTGTTTTTTCTTGTCAATCTCTGTACTTCTGTTTCCTTAGGACTTGTTAATAGATTTAGTTGGCTCTTTAGTTAAGCCACGTTTCTGTTTCTTTGTGCATTTTTGTAACCTTTGATGAACTTTGTGCACTTGATAAGAATGCTTCTTCTCTCAGACAAGCCTCCAAATGAAGACTCTCAAGAATAAACAGGCACAGAGAAGTTGACGCCCCAAAAATCTCCTTTGGAGGATATAAACTTCTGTGTCATGTGACTAGGCTTTTGGAATGAAAAGATACGCTTTTAAAATCAGGAAGATATAATCTCTGAATATTCTCTGGTTGTAAAGTATCCTAGTACACCTTGCTCTCTCTTGTTCTCAACAACATCCAAATTAGTTTGCTTCCTTTGAGACTGCAAAATAAGTGAGACAAACATAGTTCTTCAGCTTTCAGTGAAAGCTGGAACACTGGACTAATGGCTCCAGTCTTCTTTCTAGCTCAGCAGAACAGCTGAGAGTTGAGTGTCGTCTTCTGATCACAGCTCTAGGGCATCATGGGTTCTTTGGTGCTATAGCTCATTGTCTCTCTTGCTGTTTGGATTCAGCAGTCCCTACCCATCAGGCCATGCTGGTTCTTCCCAAGCATTTGGTATGGAAAGACACAAATCAGCCTGCTAGAAGTTCTGCCTCCACTTCTCTAACTCTGTCCTGGAAAAGCTGTGCGCCAACCCCTGGCATAGGGTTGTGGTAGCCTGACAAAGTGTAACTATGGGTAAAGTGAAAGAGATATTTTTACTTGCTTCACTTCAGTATGACTTTTTGGTTAGGCTGTATGGTGTGCTGTAACCTCTTACCTGGCCTCTGGAGTTCCCATTAGGGTATACTGGCCAGTATAGTGAGTTAGTGTCTCTGCTGGGGAATGAGATCTCAGACTTCTATTCTCCCATCTTGATTTTTGTCGCTGATCTTTTTATTGCCTTCCAGTATGTTTGTATAGATTCCTTAAGGAGACATATACCATTCTATGCGCTGGAACGAACTAGACTTAGAGAAGATGCTTAATTACATAATAAAGAAAACAATTCACTTTAATGTTCAACAATTCACTTCATACTTCACTGAAGATACTACATCAGTGTTAGCTTCCACTCTCAGGCAAAACTTGTCTTAATGAACTGGTTTTTGCAGAACTCCAAATATATATCCTAAAAATACTACTTTGCTTTAACACTGCAAGAAGTATTTATAGTGTTAAAAATGCTGATTTATATTTTTTTAAACTTATAAACCCCAAACTATAGAAACTTCATCCATATTCCAGGCATAGTCAAAGCCACCTTCTCAAAGTGCCCCAAGGGGCAATGGTTCTATCTCTCAGACAACTCAGAAGCACCGTTTTTCCTGAGCACTCAGAGTCTCTTATCTCGTCATTTCCTCTCTTCTCAACTGCAGGCTTCTAGGATAAGGACTTGTGCTAATAATTCTGTAAGTATGTCATGTGAACAGTACTAAAGAGGAATGAAACGTACAAGTGCCAGAGGAAACTCTAAGCAGTCAGAAGGTAGAAACTATCTTCTAAGGCATTGGGATTTATCAAGAACCAGGAAAGCTCAAGTGCTTGATAATTAAGTGTCTTATCAATTCTACCAACTCACAATTAGCTTCTTTTATCTATTTTTCTTTCACTCCTGAACCATGTGTTGGTGACTATGCTTTATCCCTTTTTAAGGAGTTTTAGTGATCCATATTTGAGTTATACATACACAAAAACCATTTACCAAGAAAGAAAAATGCTCTAAATTTCTAAAATTATTCCCAGAAACATAAAAGTCACCACAAACATCCATCCCAAACTAGGAAACACACCTTTCTCTCCTCACTGCTGCAAAACCAGTCACAGTACTGGACAACCAGCAGCTATAATATCACAGGCCTAAAAGTAACAGAAATAATCAGTATAAAGAGAGAGGGCTAAAATGTGTTTGACAAAACTGATGTTCCTGGATCTAAACTGAGGAAAATATACAGAATAAACACATGATGTGATGAAATCATTTACTGCGAAGTTAAAAGACTTTCTGAATGATCACAAGCAAGGGAATATTCAAAGGGAATAAGGTACATAAGATCTTGGCTGGTACTGAACGGGTGATAGCTATTCCAAGAAGCTTAGAGGCAGCTCATGTGTCCTTTGTGATGGACCAGGTAGAATTATTGTCTTCCTCCACAGTTTCACAGCTCTCTGCAAAGAATGGCAGCTCACCATTTTTATACGATAAATCTAAGTCTGTGATTCCCCTAATTCAAGTGAATTTTAATCTATGAATCTGATATATACAGGTGAATTGTTTGAGAGGGAATTTGCTTATACACATAGAGCCTGAGGCAGCCAAGGAGTTAGCCTGCTACCCACTGCCATGTTAAGCTTCTGCTACACAGAAGAGGATCTCTACAGGAATCTGACAATGTTGTCCTAAGACTTCTAGCTTTTAAAACTGTGAGAAAAAATTCCCCCCAAAACTCCCCAAAGCTACATATCTACAGTACTTTTGTCATAGCTGCCCAAGCTAAGACATCACCTATCTTATTTCCTATGCATGGATTTCCTAGAAGGTTGTGATCACCATCTTGTTTTAAATAGCATGGTAGAATCTTTTTCCGTAAGATATTTTGTTTCTTCCTTCACATTCCACATGCCATTCTATTCAGTTCCCTGTTCGATCTAAAGCTTTCTCTTCCAATATCAATAGAACAAATTCTTCCAAACAATTATAGTGTATAACTGAGGGAGAACATTGGGATTTAGTTTTTTTTCCTCATTGTTATTTCAAAACAATTTTAAATCAAAAAAATCCATTATAAAAATAGTAGACCCGGTTAACCCACTCTCCCCTACTATCAGTAAAACCACAGTATGCTTTCTGCAAGAGTTAAGATTGAGTCAATAAAATGAACTGCTTTACAAAATGTATTTAAATCTCCCAGTTTCCCCAGTAATCTCAATCTCCCTCCCTCCCTCCCTTTTCCTCCCTTCTACTCCCTGTCTGACTGATTCATAGTTTCATGCTATATTTAATGGCTGTACCTCCTTAGTCTCCTCATACAGTGGCACGTCTCACTCTATCTCTGCTTTCATAATACTGATACTGTTGAAAATTACCAGTCAGTTACAATGTGTAGGTGGTTCCTAAATTTAGATTTTACACTTCTGCATTTGACTCTGAGATTTTGACCTATGTAGCCTTAAAGTCAGACTCTCAGGGACTCCAGTTTATTTGTGATACAGGTAACGACGATGTTTTAAGACTATTCTGAAAATTAAATAATTAACTGAGGCAAAATATAAAATACTTGAGATAAAAGATATTAAGTCTTTTCACCTATTTTTAAAATTTTTTAAAGATTTATTTTTATTTGTTTTATGTACGCTTGTTATTGTCTTTAGACACAGCAGAAGAGACATTAGATCCCATTACAGATGGCTGTGAGCTAGCATGGTGGTTGCTAGGAATTGAACTCAGGACCTCTGAGGGCTCTTAACTGCTGAGCCATCTCTCTAGGCCCTTGGAAAGACTTTTAACTAAAATATCATCCCCATGATTTAGGAACTTATTTTGTAAAAAGAACCATGTACAATTTAGCCTTGGATTCATACACATTGCCCTCACTGTAAATAACAAGTGTTAGCATCTGTGGCGGTGCTAGTCTGCATCTTTGCTTGGTTTTCCACATTGGTCTAATTCTTGCTAGTATGTTTGCATTTAAGGCTTCAATGTCACCTTATGAGTTTTAGCTTGTGATCAGTAATCAGTACAGATTAATTTATTTACTCATACATTCATTCAACGACTTACCATATCTACTTTTCTCTGTTAGGATATTGGGTACAGTAATAAGCTACTTATTGTCTTCATGGATTTGGTGGGAAAACAGATAAATAATTTTTACAATTCAATATAACCAGGTCTATGAGATGTGATGCCTAGGATTACATAAAAAGCATTCTTAAACCTGGGATTGGGAAAACAGCTTCAGGGTTTCATGCAGAAGATGCTCTCGGGTGTAAATTCCGGCTGCAGAATGCAGAGGAAGGAAGGAAGGAGCCATGGCATGGCGTTTAAGGAGAGCTATTAGAACACAGGGAGTAGAGGCAAGTTGGCTCTGGGAAATCTCTCGTGTTGTAAACCTGCAACACCAATACCTGAGGGGCTTAGAAACTTCATCAGGAAACTTCTGGTCCCAGGGCTCCAAAGACTGCAGGTGACAGACCTAAACCTTTAGCTATTACACCTAGCTTACCCCATTTAACATCTGTGAACAGAGGTAAAATTTAAGGTGACAACTGGTTGCTTGTTCAAATCATAAATAAGCTTTCCCTTTTTGACAAAGGCATTTCCTAAATTTTAAGTGTAAATGGCTAAAAAAAAAAAAATACCCTTTTAAAATAGGCCCTTTGACACATGGTGGTGGGAGGCTCTGAGGTTCTCAGTTTTCTCTTTCTGACACCCATTCCTGTGGCTGTAGAGGTTTGACATTGGGTTCACCTGATTCCAGAGCCAAGTTTAACGTGTAAATCTGTGTTCTTCACAAGTTATTGCTTGTGAAGCAAAAACCTACCTATTGCTCATTAAATATTAGAATTTAGGAGGCTCTGACACAAAATATTCAAATAACTGAGAGATTTCACTTTTAGTTCCTATTGTGTGTTTGTAACCACCTTCATATCCCTCGCCCCTCCTCCCACTTTTAATCTAGACAGTAAATAGGCTGGATTCTTAGTTCTGGCCACAGAACTATTTCTCAAACCTTAACAGCTCCTAATTTAAGGCACTAATATTACATACCGTCAATTGGTGTATCAGGAGATCCATTAAGAAGGTAATCTTGTTACTAAACAGAACATCAGTGCAGTTTTCTGAACAGTTACTGCAGGTGAGGTTGTAAACATTGATTGCATTGCAGAGAGACCTAACAGGAAGGAAAACACCATTTGTAAAACCCAGCGACTCTTCTCCCAACAGTTTAAAATATATAACATCAGTGATACAGAAGGAACAGGCATGACATGGAAACTAGTCTAGAAAACCAAGCCAAACCTAATTAGGTACAGGTCCATCACCTAGACATAAACAGTTACGTCCATAGCTAATGAATGCTATGCCCATTATTACCTAACAGTTCTTACTAGGAATGTCTACTAGTTACAGCACAGACAATGCAAACAATTTCCCAGCTTCTCTGATAATGTTAAGAGCAGACATCAACCAGGAATCTTCACCTTTTAAATAACCTAGAAAAAAAGACTGCTAAGTTGCCTGTTGTCAGATCAGCTGGTCCAGGACAAGGCAGCTGATAGAACAGTATGGAGAAACTGGAGATATTTTCTGAAAAGAGAGACCTACTCTGCTTGAAGGCAGTATGAATATGGATCTGGTCCTAGGCAGAGGAAGACTTCTTTCTTAGAGGGTCCAAACTGGCCATGACCCAAAATAATCTAAAGAAAAACTAGCCAAAAAGAAAAAGGTTTTCTCTAGGACACACACACACACACACACAACCATGATATTAATTGTTCAAAGAAATTTTACAGCAATAAGCTCGATGTATAGGGGACTCTCCTGAGTGTTTTGAAGCCTGGGCTTAATGTAATGCATGTATAATCAACGTTTATCTACTCTGGCTTGTCTGACTGAATTTCTTGCTTAGTTCTTCACACCAACCTTCTGAGAGAGAGAGAGTTCTTAATCTTATGGGAGCTCCAAAAACCTTGGTAATAAAAAATTTCAATCCCTGGAAAGCAAACTGGGGCTCAGAGGGAGCCACTGACAATGTCTTTACGTCAGTGATGACCCTGAACTAGGGCAGATACCTCCAGAGCTGATAGTCCTCTGGATACCTGGACAGAGGAGATAATAGGGCCAGTGCTAAGCTGGTCTCTGGAATTCTTCAAGGTCTCACCAAATGAAACTAACATAGCAGTCAATCAAACAGTACTAATGTTACTGCTTTGCCCACTACCAATCATATTAGAGGTTATCTAACCCTTCTAGAAAATTCCCCCATCCCTGAATAAAAGAAGGCATGTGAGCTCCTCTAGTCATAACTATTTTGGTGAATGGTTGACCCCTGCACACTGGTAATTTTGCAGAATAAATGCTCTTTGCTTTTATATACTATTTGAGTCTGGGGTCTTCCTTCGTGGACCCTAACACTTCCTAATGCTGCAACCCTTTCAATACAGTTTCTAATGTGGTGGTGAGTCCCCCCCACCACAATAAAATTATTTTTGTTGCTAATTTATAACTGAAATTTTGCTACTGTTATGAATCGTGGTATACATAACTAATTTGCAGGATGGTGTTGGGTGACCCCTGTGAAAGAGTCCTTTGGACCCTAAAGGGGTTGCAACAAACAGGTTGAGAACAGTTGTTGAGACAACATTTAATTGTGACCTGTCAATCAACAGCATCAACATTACCTGCGAACTTTAAGAAATGCAAACTGCCAAGCTTCTCTGCATACCCAGTAATAGAAAAACTTGTGTCTTAAAAAAATTCTGCAGTCAGAAATGAGAACCACAGATCTTAGAAACATTATGTGAGCATTCATTCATTCAATCATCCATTAATCATATAGTGAAGGTCCCTATGATATGCCATGCATTGTACAATGCACATAAGACAGGTAAATGTCCAGAGCTAACACTTTCCTAGGAAAAAAGAAGATGAGGAGAGCCCCTGCTATAATAATGTCTGATGCAGTTGACCTGACCACAGAGTTGATGGGTTTCTGGAAGTTGGTTACAGTTGAGCACGCTACGCCAGAGTAAAGCTACAGGAACCAGATACTTCTAGGGCAGAGTCCCAGTTTATCATTTAAGACATTAGCAAATTTATAATGTAGCATTTATGATCTATTTCACATGTTTAAAAACAAGATAATATTTAAGCTTTCTGTGATTGTCATGGGAATTAAATGAGATGATAAAGTACTTAGGGCACTGTTTAAATAGTAGGACTCATGATTACTAATGTGATTACTGTTACTTGATAACTAGAGTAAGATTGCATTTATTTTTTTCCTAAGTTTAAAACAGGTGTTTATGGTTAAAGATAATTATATTTGAGAAGGTGACATACAAAGAAATGGTAAAAAACTGTTATGAAAAAAATATAGTAATTCTAATGCTATTCTTCCCCTAGTGCTGTTAAGTATTTCTCCCTAACACTTAGCGTCTTCTATAACACTAGGTTTGGATTTTAAAAAAGAGAATCAAAATCTTACTGAGAAGCACAAAGCACAGAATAGAAAGCAAGAATTGTCCCTGGCTGAAGTGGAAGATGGAGGGCTCTCCCTTCTCAGAGAATCCTAAGGCTTCTTCCTTAGACACATTCTCTTGGAATGCAGGGGAAATTACTGCCCTAAGATCCAGCTAAAGTTTCACCTGGCAGGGTTTGAGTAGCTAAGAACAGTCACAGAGTATCAGCTGTGTGGGCTCCACCAGCAGAGGTCATCCTCAAGTGACCTCAGATGGACCAGTGCCCAGGGGTGTCTGCTATCACTGTTTTGGGAGGCAGTTTCAGAAATCTCCCAAGACTTTTCTGAGTCATGTTCTCTGTGCACTCCTTTCTAATAAAGAACAAACTCAAAAATGCATAATTTTAAAAATACCGAACCATGTCTTATCCTATAGATATACAAATTTAGCTTAACCAATCTCTACAGTGTCCGACTTTCAGTAGCATAAACTATGTTTTTTTGTGAGAAGTCTTTGTTGTAAACTTCTGGGAAAAAAGCTTCAGATGATTTAAACAGAAAAACTGACAGGCAGATTCTATACATAAAAGAATTTGGAGAATGCTTCTATGTCTGATACCCAAATCAAACACTACTGAACGGGCCTAAACAAGCAAAACAAATCCAGAATGTGACCAGGCATGATATGCCTCACCTTGAATGTGACTGTGGGCTTTACAAACAGTAGCTTCCAACTCTTAGACTAGAGTCTGGATACCCCTGCTTTATTCATTAGCTCCAGGGTAAGGGTCTGGCTATAGGCCTCAGTCACCTACCTGCACAGACACATGAAATCTGGGAGCAAATGCCTGTTTGCTTCTTTCATACTTGCTGGTTGTGATGAAAAAGGTAAAAGGAACTGAATGTTTTTAAGGTTTTCAAGCACACTGCCAAATTCAAACTGGCTTCCAGAAAAATAAATTATACCAATTTTTACTGTGAGAAAGGCACCTTCCCCACACTCCATGTTATGGCCAATATTGGCTACATCTTTATAAATTTGATAGCAAAATAAGTATGTTACTCCTTTTTTGTTTTTATTTTTTAAATAATCCTACAACATAACGTGTTTTGCTATGGTGTCTTTCCGTATGGTTGTTGTGCAAGCCTGTCCCCTGGCTGCATGCTTGCACTCTTGTACCCCTGCTGGTCAACGTCCTTTTTGCTCTCATGCAACACATGCTCTATCTCACACCCATGACACTGCTCCTCCTCATGGTCCCTTTCTAGCTTCAGGATTTATACACATTCACACATTTGTATTCATACATAAAGTCGGGATCCAAAAATCAAAGAATATGCAATATTTGTCTTTCTGAGTCTGGACTCTACTTAATATAACAATATCCATCAAGTTTGGGGCAATTTTAATATTTAATTTTTCTTGATGGTCTAATAAAATGCATAGTGTATATGTATTACATTTTCTTTGCCCATTTATCAGCTAATGAACATCTACGCTGATTTCCTTGTTTCTTGTTTTTTTGGTTTCTTTTTATGATTTAAAAGTACTTTCAAATTATATAATTAGGCAATTACTCAAGTGTATGTTTTCAAAGTTATCACTAAGTGATAATTTTACAGTTTTCATAATTAATTCTATCAGTTCATTGTAAATTTATTTTGGTGCGATCTATAAAACGGGAGTTTCAAGTTATTTTAACACTACTGAAGTGAGTAAGTACAATGTCCTTCATGTATTTGCAATGACACACATGGAGAATACATTTTCTAGTTTCTTTGTCTAACTGATAATTGTCTTTATGCTAATATTGTAGTGTGTATTATATTATGTAAGTTAATGGAAGGGTTAATTTAATATACTACAGATCTCTAAAAATTATTAAAGATCCTGTTAGAGTGCTGTGATGAACTGCAGGGCTTTAGAACTATATCTGAGATGCTTTTGCTATTTATGTCTTTATAGCCTTGATCTTTATTAGTATTTTGTGTTTTATTCAATCAATATTTTACAGCTTGTTATAAATTTTTGGTCAACAATTACGAAGCACAAAGAAATACACATATACAAAAGAGTGTAACTCCTTTTACTATCATCTGTGCTCGACAAGGACAATCTCTCCTCGGATAAAGGAGAATGAATGTGCATCTAAACGGCCTTATGCTCTCATCACTTGTTTAAGAAACTGTCCTAATGAGTGAGAAAGGGACAGGGAACAAAAACTCTCAGGGTGAGGAAAAACCTGGGTATGCAGTGAACTTACTTGAAAGACAATCTTTATTTGAAGAGCACCTGGTTTAGAGTGCACACTGCTCAGAACCCAGCTTGGGTGGTCTGTCCAGCAGCCCTCTCTGTAATTTTAAACGTGAATGACTTGAAGTACTTTTTGACATCAAACAGAAAGCCCCAACTTTTCAAAGTATCTTCTCACGGCATATTCTATCAAGAGTACACTTGTGGTGGTGGGAATCTAAGATACAGATTTTCTTGCCCCAAATATAACTATGAATAAATTTCTTTTGTCAGAAATTTTTCTTACTGAACATGTTTCCTCTTCAAAACAGAGGACAGAAAAATGCATCATGAAACCAAGCCTTTTAGTGAGAGGTGCAGGAACTTACATGTAAAAAAAGATGATTCTAGAATACAACTAAAGTACATACTTAGTACATTAAGAATCACTTAAATGTAGGTCCTGATAAAATAGTAG